ATGACAAGATTGGTCAGTTAGACAGTGAAAAACTGTCATCTGGAGTGATGAGTCCAGATTTACCCTTTTTCAAATGATGGTCCTGTTCGTATTTGGCGAAAAGATGAAACCTGATACAATATTGAGAATTAAACACCAACAGTTAAACATGGTGGTGAGGGTGTTATGGTATGGGAATGTTTTTCAAAAAAAGGATTGGGACCATTGATAAAAGTAGATAGTAAAATGAATACATTTGGTTACATTGATATTTTAGAAAAAAATTTATTATTATTTATCCATTCTAAATATTGTAAATAGCCTTATGCATTTCAGGATGATAATGCTCCTGTTTATACTGCAAGAAATGTTAAAAATTGGATTATAAAGAAAAAGATTAAGATTCTTCCAGATTGGCTTTCTCAATCTCCAGACCTTAATCCTATTGAACATTTGTGACATGAACTAGAACGAAGACTTCGAAAATGATTAGGATATCCAAAAAATTTATATAAACTCAAAAAAGTATTACAAGAAAAATGGAAAAATTCCATCTGAAATTTATATTAATTTAATTGAAAGCATGCCACGTCAGATAGAAGCATGTATTGAAAGTCAAAAATGGCTAACTTAATATTAAAAATTTATAATATTATAATAAATATAATTTTTAAATTGATTGACCAGATACTTTTGATAGGGTAGTGTATATATATTAATAAGTTAATATATATGTAATATATAGATACAATATATACAGTATATGTATACACATTAAAATTTTTTTAAACTTTTTGATTTTTCTTTTCTTTGTAGGTTTTGCTATTATAACTAATTTATTTACATAATTTATATCTATATGCTTTAGTATTAGACTTTTTTAAAATATTATTAGTTTTTTTTAACTTAGATAATCTTTTAGTTTTCATAAAATAGAATTCTAGATCTCTATATTATTATTATTTTAGGTGTTGAAATTCCTTCTACTACTATTAAGAATTTTGTATTATACTATTTTCTTCTGAATTAATTAAAATATTTAAGAATTTTATGATAAGTATTCTTATTACCTTCTTTAATAATATTATTTATAATTTTTCTTTAAACTAAATAATTTTCTGAATTTATACTCTTTGCAATAATTTTAAATATTTTATTATTATTATTATTTATCCTATTTCTTTGATTAATTTGTATCAAAATTTGGTAGTTATAAAAATTAGATTAGTAGTGGATACTTTTGTTACTGATGCATTTAAGGAAATGATAATAAATTTATTATTTGATATATTGATTTTTTATAATTGATCTTTATACTAAGATTGATTTATTAATCTAATATAGAATCTTGCAATTAATATAAAAGTTATTAATTAATAAAAGTGGTAATATAAATATTTATAAAATTTGAATATTATACTATAAATATACAGTAAAATATCAAAAGTTACTAAGTACTTAAAAATTAGTAAATCAACAGAAATTTTGATCTTAAATTAAACTTTTTTTATTAATTTAATTAATTTTATTTAAATAAGCAAAGTTATTTATCATAATGTTTTATATATTTTTTAAAATTTTTATAAATGTTTAATTAGAAATAAAAATATTTATTGTATATTCAATACAGCATTTTCAAATTTTAATATAAGATTTTGGTTATAATAAAATATTGAAATTATTAGCTATAATATATTTTTTGTTTTAAATATACTTGTTAAACATATTAAAAAATATATATTTTTCTAAAATTTCAGATTAATGACATTTATATTTATTAAGATTGTCTTAATATAGTGAGTTATTAATTATGTATGATGTTAATTATTTTTTTAATTTTGAATCAAAATTTAAATCAAGTTTTTTTATAATCATCTTATTGGTTTGAATAAAATTTTTTATTTGTTATACTAAATTCTATATTTTATATTTCAATGAAAATTTATTTTTCAAAATAATTTTATAAAAATGACTACTCAATAAAAAGAACTTTTTGATTTTTAATGCAATAAAATTATAAATACTTGGAAGTATGATTTTAGTGAAAAAAAAATAGTAAAGTATTAAATTATCTAAAAGGTACTATTTATGATATTATTTTTATATATAAAATAATAGTTTCAAAATACTTTTTTCTTGAAATAATAGGGTATTTATTTTAACTGAAAGGGATAATTATTATTTAATGCAATTCTTAATAAAAATCATAGAACTAATATTAATGAATTATGTAAAAATTTTGTTACTTCTACTTTAATAAATATAAAACAAATTACTTTTAAAAAATATCTTTATAATAATAGTTTCAGAACAAAAAATCCTTTTGTAAATACAGCTAGAGTTCTAGATGAGTTGAGTTAATTCACGAGTCAGATAAGCTGAGTCAAGTTTAAATCGAGTTGAGTTTATGTTTTTTTGACTTGATGATTTGCAAGTCAAGTCAAATTCAAATTGAGTTAAATATTTAACTTGACTCAATTTAAACTCAACTTGATTCGAGTTGACTCGAGTTGACTTGAACAATATTTTTTTATTATTCAAAAAGAATGATAACAAATCGTTCGACTTGAACGATTTTTTTTATCGTTCAAGAAGAACAATGACGAATCGTTCAACTTAAACGATTTTTTTTATCATTCAAAAAGAATGATGACGAATCGTTAAACTTAAATGATTTTTTTTATTGTTTAAGAAGAATGATAACAAATCGTTCGACTTGAATGATATTTTTTTATCGTTTAAGAAGAATAATGACGAATCGTTCGACTTGAACGATATTTTTTATCGTTCAAAAAGAACGATGACAAATTATTTGACTTTAACGATGACCTGAATCGTTCAACTTGAATGATGACTTGAATCATTTGACTTGAACAATAACGAATCATTCACTCTTTCCCCCTTCCCCCCTCAATCTTTTCATTTTTTTTTATTATTTTTTTTCAAAGTCGAATTGAGTTAAAATCGAGTCAAATTTAAAATTTATATAACTTGAATCAAATCAAATTAAAAGATTTTATAAAATAAATTTGACTCGACTCAACTTGAAAAAAGAGAGTCGAGTCGAGTTTATCTTTAAACTCGACTCGACTCAACTCATTCAGAACTCTAAATACAGCCAATAAAATAAAAAGATTAATATAAGCTAAAAATAGAAAAGATTGAAAAAATGAATGGAAAAATATTATTTGGAATGATAAATCTCAGTTTAAAGTATTTAAAGGAGATGGAAAAGATATATTTGAAAAAATGTTTAAGAAAAATATGATCTAAAATATCTTATTCCTACATTTAAATCAGGTTAACAAAGTGTTATGATTTGGAATAATTTATAAAAAATAAACTAGATCTATTAGTCAGATTAGAAGATAAAATAATAGTAAATATATATATAGATATGTTAAATAATTATTTATTACTATTTTTAAATAGTTTAGAAAATAAAAATAATTATATAGTTCAAGAAGATAATACTTCTATTTACAAAGCAAAGTAGTAAAAAATGGAAAATAGAAAATAAGCTTATAAGCTTACTATAGTTTGTTAAAGCTCAGATTTAAATCCTATAGAAAATTTATGGATGAATTGAATAAAAAAGTCAGAAAACATAATTACTATCAAAAAATTAAGATGATGTAACTTTTGATATTTTATTATACAAAAAAAGTATTATCATTCAAAAGGTATATAAAGTGTGATATTTTCAGATTTGTTAAATGCAAAATTTTTCAGGCTTTAAGAATAATTGAAGTAATTTTCTAGAAAGATATTCAAATGTATTTGTAAAAAGTCAAATAAGTTATCAATAAATCTATTGATTCATAAAGTATCTAAAGTAATATAATTACTTTAGTAATATTAAAAAGTAACTCAAATAGTATAAAATACTTATATTTTTTTAAAACATATATTTTGAATTCAATCTCTATATCATAATAACAAAAATTTAAATTTATTTGCTTTTCCTATTTTTTTAATAATATTTGATATTAAGAATTTGTTTAACTATTTTACAACAGCTCAAAAATGAATTTTGATATATTTTGAGATTCTATCTATGATATAATTTGCTTTCAATTTATAAATTTACATAATCATTTTTTTTTGATATCTTTTTTCTAATACATCAAATAATTTATATAATAAAAATGTAAACTTTTGAAAGTTATTTTAATATAGATTTTCACTTTTATTATAAAAAGTTAATTATATACTAGTAGTAAATATCTATTAGTAAAAATATATATATTCATGATTGAGGATTATATTCAAAAATTTTCATTAAATAGTCTTTTTATAGTAAATAATTCTATAGTAAAGCATTTATTTTTATTGAATAAATTGATAAATATAATAATAGAAAAATTTTATAAATATAATATAATAAAGGCAATTGCTATTTGTACACGCGTGTATAAATCTGCATCATGTAATTTATAAATTATATCACGTGATTTATAAAATTTGAATTTTTAACTAAACGATATAACGTGACTTTTTAACTATTTAGATTTTATTACAAAAAAATAAAATGCATACATACAATTATGACACTTGCATACATATATGCCATACATATATGGGTTGATTGCTAGGAAAATCAGGTTCTGAGAATTTTTTAACAAAATTGAGATTTTTATTGCATTTTAGTTTTTGATGTTATTAGATTAAAATGTATTAAGCTCTTAATTTAAGTGAAAAATTTCTCAGAACCTGATTTTCCTAGAAACTCTCCCATATGCTCAAAACTAATTAAACTACATTTTGACATGTCTTTGCATAATGTCTGTATTGATTACACTTTTCACATTTTTAGCTTATTGTACTATTTATTTCATTTGTCTTTTCTTTATAACATTAGTACTATCTCTTAAAACTTGCTTTCCCTGCTTAGATACAGACTTTTAGCATTTGATTTGAGTCTTTTTAGAGGTCTTCCTTTATGTTTGATAATAGCAGAATTATTAATATTAAAAAAGATTTCTGTTTCTGTTTCTTGATTGTTCATTTTGTTTTGTACGTCATAAATAAAAGTCTTTAGTATATTCAATAACTCACATCACATATCAGCCTTAAAAGCACAGTTAATGACCTTCTTTGATAATCCAAATAATTCTGCATAGATGGTTTTGATTAATTTTTGAGATGATTGAGAACCAAGTGAATCGAACTGAATCAAAAAAAAGTAATAGAAGTTGAATTCAAAACTATTTAATTGCGTTATGCCACATACTGGAATGGAAGGATATTTTTGCAAAAGATCATCCAGTTGAATATTAGTATTCAAGTACCATGGACTCAGAATTATGCTTATATAAAAAGTGACATTTTAAGAGTAAGTGCTAACACGAAAGAAGTATCGACATATCAATTCTTTATTGATTAAGAGAAGGCAGGTACATACAGTAGCAGTCATAAGTATCCGACCGCCTAAGATCGTCCAAAATTATTATATAACTACCCCTTAAATTTTCCAGAAATATAATATAACACAATACATGATCACCTG